GACAGACAGGAGCGACCTGTTCTAAACCCATGTTGCCCTGGGTTGTGTAACTGATGGGTTTCTAGATGGTGGTGATCTTGCTTCTTAGGACCCTTTCAAAGATTTTATGATATGGGATGTTAGTGCTATTGGTCTGTAGTTCTTTGCTGTTGCTTTACTGCCCCTTTGTGGAGTGGGGCTATATCTGTTGTTTTTAGTAACTGAGGGACGACCCCGTGTCCATGCTCCCTCTCCATAGGATGGAAAAGGCTCGTGATAGGGGCTTCTTGCAGTTCTTGATGAACACAGAGTTCCATGAGTCTGGCCCTGGGGCAGAGTGCATGGGCATGTCATTTATCGCCTGTTCGAAGTTATTTGGCGTCAGGATAACATCGGATAGGCTTGTGTTAATCAAATTTTGTGGCTCTCTCTATAAAAAATTCATTTTGATCTTCGACTCTCAGTCTGGTTAGCGGCTTGCTAAAAACTGAGTCATATTGGGACTTGAGTAGCTCACTCATTTCCTTGCTGTCATCTGTGTAGGACCCATCTTGTTTAAGTAGGGGCCATACTGGACGTTGTTCTCGATTTTGATTTGGCATAGGAGAAGAAATACTTTGGGTTTCTTTCGATTTCATTTATGGCTTTTAGTTCTTCCCGCGATTCCTGACTCCTAAAGGATTCTTTTAGCTTAAGTTCGATGCTGCTATTTCTCTGACCAGTGTCTCCCTACGCATTTCAGATATATTGACCTCTTTTAGCCGCTCTGTTATTCTTTTCCGTCGCCTGTAAAGGGAGGCGCCTGTCTCTTCTATTTTACATCTACTCCATCCTTTTTCTTAGAGGAATAAGCCTTGTGCATACATCGAGTGCCACCGAGTTAATCTGTTCTAGGCATAAGTTTGGGGTCTGTGTTGCTTAGTATATCTTTCCCAGCTTATATCGGTTAGGACTTGATTTACTTGGTCCCACTTTATGTTTTTGTTATTGAAGTTGAATTTGGTGAATGCTCCCTCGTGACTAGTCTCATTTTGTCGGTCTGGGGCTCCACGCATACATGTCTGAACCTCAATTATGTTGTGATCTGAGTATATTGTTTTTGATATGGTGACATTTCTTATCAGATTATCTTTGTTAGTGAAGATGAGGTCTATTTGTATTCTCCCAGTTTTGAAAGGCTCTATTATTTGCTGGTTTAAATTGAATTTTGGCAGAATTTAAAAAGCCGTGGAGTGTGAGTTTTCATCAAGCTCCCCCGGGGTGTTTTTACGCAAAAAATATTATTTGCTAAAAATTCCTCCTTTTTTAGGGGCCTTTAAGTTAAAAACCCCCAGGAGCAAGATTTGGGGGGCAGGGGGCTAAAAATTTTTTCCAGACAGGGGTTAAATTTTTTAAACAGCTTTTCCCTGGAATTGGGGGATTTTTGCACCCGGGAGGTTTGGGAGACTCCAAACAATGACTGGGTTTGGGGGCTCGACCTTTACGGGCTAAAACTTCCACTACATCATTTGAGGCTTTAAGCGGGCCCTTTTGGAAAAACAATTGACTCGGGCCAATGTAAAAGGCCAAACCCCCCCCCTTTTTTTTCCTTTTAAATTCCTGTCACATCTGTTAGGTTTTTAACCTGGGATCCATATTTCGTTTTTCCCCAAATGTCTTTATGTGGGGGCTCAGTGAAAGCCGCAACATTGCCTTTTTCCCTTTCAAGCAGTCCCCCGGATGAAAGGTATTTTGTTGTTCGTTTGCTGGCTTAGACCCTGTATAATTTTGCAAAGAAGAAAAGTTTTTGGACTGGTGGGATTGTTGGGACTTTGGGGGGGGAATTTTTTTTCCGGGTTTGTATCTTACTGTTTGGTTTTGGGGTGGGGGCCCCGACTGTGGTTCCCCCTCCCGGGAAAGACTGATTTGGGGTAAAATTTCTGCCATTTTTTCCCGCCAGTTTTTTTTTTCCCTTTCCCGGGACTAAAAAACCCTCCCCCTTGAGTGGCTGTACTACCCAGGTTTTTTTCCCCTGGCCCTGGATGTTTTTTATCCCTTTTTTTCCCCCTTTTGATGGATTTCCTGGCAATTTTTAAAAAAAAGCCCAGTCTTTTTTGTACTGAAAAAAGGTACACATTTCAGGGTGAAAAAGCTTACAGGAAGGGGGTTTGCATTTTCCTGTTGTCATATGGGCACGGCATTTTCTAGGGTGGTCATAGTTGCATGTCCCATCTGTTTTTCCAGATTTCCCATGCCAGCAGATACCAAGTGCATAGTATGTGCACAGGCTTGGTTTCCGCTTGCCTTGGGTTTCTGTGACTGTATTCCCTGTTGGTGCATGTTTCCCTGTCTTACTTCTATCCTCCCTAGCACCAACAATGGAGCTCCCACCAGTTTGTTTTTGGTAATTTATCCTCACTATTGCTATTGGAGTCCTCTTGTTTGCTATTTCTGCGGTATTTCTAGTTTGCAATATTGGTTTTATCTTATCTTTGACTACACTTGTTTCCCTACTATGGCTCCTGTCCCCTATGAGGTCATTTATATGTATTCCTTCCTGCGTATAATTCCCGACTACCTGGACAAAATCTCCAGCTTCACCATTACTGTCTCCCAGGACAGTATCTCCAGCTTCACCATTTCTGTCTCCCAGGACAGCACCTCCAGCTTCACCATTACTGTCTCCCAGGGCAGCACTATCAGCCCCACATTTACTGACTACCAGGACATCACCTCCAGCCTTACAGTTTCTGACTACATGGCCAGTATCAAGGGCAGTACCATTCAGCCCAGACTTTTTATGTTCCCATCTGTTGTAGAAAGCTTCCAGGTTTTCTATGAAAGCAGCTTTTATGTTGTCCTCTTTTAATACCCTTGTGATTTTAGTCCACAGATTTTCCTCATTTGGGCATACTCAAAAACACTTCTCTGTTTTAATACTGCTTGTAGCTAGTTCTTGAATATCTGCACAAGGAGCGTGACACCAATTTCCACAAAAATGACAATTTATCCATGTGGAAGCCCGTTTGTTTGACTGACCACAGACTACACACAGCTTCATAATGATTTGAATGGTTGATTTACTGCAATTCTACTAGCAACCTCTTGAATATTCTATTAATAACCTTAAATGAAGCTCTAGCTATTTGTATTTCTGTTTCTAACTGTTTTTGTATATTGGACAGCTTACCGGCACGTTCCTGATTTTTAATGTTTGTGTTTATAAGGGCGCCTACAACCCCATTCGTTTACAGTCTGCTTTATTGTCCAACGAAACCGTTTGAAACCAGTCCCGGGTTCGGACCAGTCAAGGGTTCGGACCAGTCAAGGGTTCGGACCAGTCAAGGGTTCGGACCAGTCAAGGGTTTGGACCAGTCGATCTGATCTGATCAGTGGGTCACTTATTTAAAACATACTGGTCGGTGATTTGAGCTAACACATGAAGGATCTACTGGAAATTATCTACCCGAGTAATATGTGATTTGACTGATACAAAAGTATAACTTGTGTGTTGAAGAGCCGGTGATATCTGGCAGCTCCTACAGTGACGAACGGTAGACCTCAACCCTTGTTTATCAATCGCTGTATCTAGCTTTTCTATTTTTTTTTTCCGTCTCCACCACAATAAATGCTATATTATCACTATAGTTGACTGGTGCAAATTTTGGAGGAAGGACGCTTTTTCTGTAGTAATAATTGCTTCTCGTTGTGTATATTGCGACCGCTGGTAACTACAGGTTATATGAAATTCACAGTAACGTCTCGTATTTCAAGAAAAAGAAACTAATGAAAGTCACTCCACTCCACTAAGTACCACTATAATACTGGTTAGTTGCTACCACAACACTGTATTCTGCTAATCACTAATCACGTATCACTGATACGTGACATCAGTCTGTCAAAGCGAACATCTGATACGTGACATCAGTCTGTCAAAGCAAACATTTGAACTTTTAGCATCCAGACTAAAAGAAAATAACTGTCTATAACAAGAACATTACTTCAGATTAAGAAGCAAACACCCTTCTCCTGGCTGAGGGACTGACCACCTCAAAACTACGTGTTCAAGGGTGATGGACTGATTAATAGTCCTCACATCTCTACTGCTTCTACCAACTTTTCTGTACTCGACTGAAGAAGCATACTGTGTAGGGGATACGTTTCGGAAGATACCCAACTGTTGCACATGAGACTTACTCTTCTATGGTAATTTACTAAGCTGGGACTATTATACCCTGTCGTATAGTGGGTTTTTGCCTGTGTCATAAGCCATCACATCCCAGTATGCACCTCCACTAGCGTCCAGTGGACACCTTTGTTACCGAGACGAAAAGACAAATAAACTTTACGATGGGTGTCGGGTACACTGCCCGGTTATCCTACAAAGTTTGAAAGGCCTCTCACCTAATTGTGGTTGCAGGGGTCGATTTACAGCTCCTGGCCCCGCCTCTTTACTGGTCGCTACTAGGTACACACTCTCCCTGCTCCACGAGCTTTGTCGTATCTCTTCTTAAGTCTGTGTATGGATCCTGCCTCCACTACACCACTCTCCAGATTGTTCCACTTCCTAACAACTCTGTTTAAAATATTTAGACATATTTCGTCCATTTGCTGCTACGTTGCCACTATATCAACATTAAAACTGTCTTATACATACCAGGAAAATTTGAGCTCGATTTATATGCCAAGAACCTCCACCATATCAAACTTACAGGACTTAAACAATCGAAAATGTCTTGTGATACATCAAACATATTGTGAACAAATAATATAGAGGTGATAAAAATATTTTTATGCCAGATTTCGGTCTTACATTATCAATACACGAAGTAATAAACGAATGGCACTTACGTATATGCACGAGCAGGATAGATGGCACCCCAATGATATTATATTCTTTTAAAAAGCTAGAATACACGTTCTGTTCTAAATTTCCTTGCTAGAATCACCTGAAGCAGAACTAGTCTAGTAGCAAAACCATAATATATCCGGGTATTATACTATATCTGTGGTATATTATCACAGTATACTGAAAGGCACTTGCAACATCCTCCAGAACGTCAGTGTGACTGTTGGCCTCGTACGACGTTGTTGTCTTCCAATTTAGGTAAGTTTTATCTTATTTGGGGAGTTAAAATTGGATAGATAGTTTGATGAAGAGGTTATCTGAGTGTCCAGATCTAGTCTTCATGATTGTTCTCAGTGAGGGACGAGCGATAATAAATAAAGAGACAGAAATGGCCAAAATACGTGGGTCTAGCCTCCATAGTGATGGAGTGTGAGAGGTACTCACCTAATTGTGGTTGCAGGGGTCGAGACTCAGCTCCTGGCCCCGCCTCTTCACTGACCGCTACTGGGTCCTCCCTCTTCCTGCTCCATGAGCTTTATCATACCTCGTCTTAAAACTATGTGATTCATGCTGTGTGGTGGAGCATGGACCCAGTGTCAAAGCATACTGCTTTGACACTGGGTCCATCTTTTTGAAACACCTTGTAGTGATTTTTCATCCTTCTATTTTTCTAAGTTACGATATTAGTCATGAAATAATTTTTTTCTGACGACAGATTTAGATTTTGCCACCGAAGTTGCTAGTTTATTGTGCACCCCATATCCATCCTGTGGACGGTAGCGCGAGAGCATGTGGATACACAAAAGGCCTAGGAACTAGGCCCCAAAGGGTTAACAGGAATACATATGGATTTATATCTACATATCTATAGTTCAATTATCTGTTACAAGCAAATTTAGGAAATTTGCTTAGTATATCTGGTATCTTATTTTCATTAATAAGATATCTTGACATGTCACATAGGTTATTATACTGTCTGTCTCTGTATTCCTCAATAAGTGGACAATTAAGCACATAGTGTTCAAGAGAGTGACCATATGCCTGATCACATAATTTACATTTAGTTTGATCATCATCTGTGTGTCTCCCAAACTGCCAGAAGTACTTGTAACCAAGCCTAAGCCTGGCCACTACAACATCAGTCAGTCTGTTCACATTGCAAGTTGCTCCATAAACATACTTATCTACGTTCATGTTATCATAGTGGGTTATAGATCTACTCAGGCTTCTAACTGCATTCCTATAACAATCATTTTCATTATTTACTTCTCTCCTAATATTATTCCTAATGCTAGACACAGTTATACCAAAGTTATATTCTACGTTCTCCTTCTGGATACTCTTCTTGGCTAACATATCAACTTTATCATGAAGGAGTAATCCAATGTGTGATGGGATCCATAGCAATTGTACATTAATTCCTTTGTCCCTAATTTTTTGAGTATCTATACCTGGCTTCCCCAATGAGCATGTTGTTGGAGTCATTATATGAGCCAAGAGCCTTCAATGATGACATAGAATCAGTAATGATGATAGAGTCAAGCTCAGTGTCATAGGTTAGCTTTAGCGCCATTAGGATTGCAAACAATTCAGTTTGCAGTGTAGACGCCCAGTTGTTAATTCTTATGCCTAACTCAACAAATTTATTATCGTTCTTAACTAGGGAGGTGGCAACAAGAGCAGATGCAGCCCTGCCAGAAGACTCCTGTTTAGATCCATCAGTGTATATAACTTGTGATAACTTATTACTACCAGCTAGGCGAAAAATTTCTTCTTGAGCAGTTGCTCTAACAAGAGATTTAAGGAAGGGATTACTAGCAATGAGCTTCTTGGGAGGGACTTGCAGGTATGTGATATTAAATGAACACATCTTCCATGGAGGGGTGAAATGCTCTTGTTGCCTACAGTGATACAGTTCATGCAGGTTATAAAACTTAATGCAATTGCACGTTTTCACAATCCATTTAGATCTGTGTGTATTTACCTCTAGACACTTGGTAAGATTCACTGTGACAGTGTCTGGTTCGTTTCTCAACATTCTAATACCGAGTACAGTGTTAATTCAACAATCCTATCACTGATACTAGAAATACCAAGCTCCTTCCTCATGTTAAGAACTTTGTAGATCTGGGACAGCCAAGAATAGTCCTGAGAGCTTCATTTTGCATTAACTCCAAGGGTCGGAGGGAACTTTCTCTAGCTAATATCAACATGGGAGCAGCATAATCAATTAAGGACCTAACATAGGCTATGTACATCATTCTCACGATTCTCACATTAGCACCATAGTTGGGATTGTAGCCAGCAACAGCTTTGAGAGCATTTAGCCTAGCTTTACATTTCTTGTTTAGTTGTGGTATAGTGGATTTGTTAAAGGGTACATCTACACCAAGATATCTGTAAGTTTTAACGTAGCTAATGATTTCACCCTGCAAATACGACAGCGTTTTCAGTACCATCAGAATTTGTTGTAATCTAGATCATGGCAAACTCTGTACAAATGTCCAGATTCTAGATATCTTGAAGACAGCCAGGGGTCTATTGGTAATCCCCCTTATGTATGCTGGGAGGCAGTTGAACAGTCTTGGGCCCCGGACTCTTACTGTGTTGTCTCTCAGTGTACTCGTGTCGCCCCTGCTTTTCATCGGGGGAATGTTGCATCTCCTGCCAAGTCTTTTGCTTTCATATGGAGTGATTTTCGTGTGTAGGTTTGGTACCAACCCCTCCAGGACCTTCCAAGTGTATATTATCATGTATCTTAATCTCCTGCATTCCAGGGAATACAGACAAAGGACCTTCAACCGTTCCCAGTAATTCGTACGTATGTGTGCCGTGAAAGTTCTTTGTACACTCTCCAGGTCTGCAATGTCGCCAGCAGTACTCCAGCCTAGAGAGCACAAGCGATTTGAAGAGAGTCATCATGGGCTTGGCGTCCCTAGTTTTGAAGGTTCTCATTATCCATCCTACCATTTTCCTAGCGGATGAGGTAGATACATTGCTGTGGTTTTTGAAGGCGAGATCCTCTGACATTATAACTCCCAGGTCCTTCACATTACTTTTCAAGTATTCTTGATTGCTCTTTTTGTTTATTTGTGGACTGTTAACCTTATTACCTAGTAAAGTGATATTGGGAAATATTGCTTGAATCTAACAGCCAGTCTCTAAAAATCTCAAATATCTTAACCCAATGATGTTAAAAATGGTATAAAATACACAGTAGGTTTCTTTAGTCAAATACAGAGGCAGCAGGCGTAGTAGTGAAATGAAGATGATGTAATCAGTCCCTCAATCTTGAAGAAAAATCTCTGCTGTGGTGTTGTTCCACTCTGCTGTGGTGTTCCATTCTGCTGTGGTGTTGTTCCACTCTGCTGTGGTGTTCCATTCTGCTGTGGTGGTGTTCCACTCTGCTGTGGTGTTGTTCCACTCTGCCAGTCCCTCAGCCTGGAGAAGAGTTCCACTCCATTAACACTTATCATACCTGTATGAGTCACGGGCGCCCACTTGGTTCTATAGTGAGATAACCAGACCTTTTCTAGATGTTTTAATTATTAAGGGTAATAATGAATTAAAATTTAAAATTTACAGAAAACCTACAAATAACTGTTCCTATGTCCACTATTATTCCTCGCATCAAGATAGAGTCAAACTGTCTGTTTTCTCATCAATGTTTTTGAGAGCTTTACGAATTTGTAGTCCAGAGTTCATAGATGAGGAAATATCCAAAATTTATGAAATAGGTAATGATTTAAAATACCCAAGAAATGTAATTGATAAATCTTTTAAAGTTGTTAGAAATACTTTTTACAATCCATAAAGGGACAACCAGCCTTATTCAACTAAAAATATGTTGGCTCTCCCTTACCATCAAAATTTGGTTGATATGCCTTCTCTTCTTAAGACTTTTAATATTAAAGTTGTATTCAAAAATCTTGATACAGTAAAAAAACTTTTGATAAAGAATTCCCCCCAAAATGCTGATGGATGTGTCTATAAGATTCCTTGTAAAATTTGCGATAAAGTTTATTACGGTCAAACTGGTAAAAATCTCGAACTAAGATTAAAACAACATAAATATAGCATTAGAACTGGACAAGATTCCAATGCTCTATTTATTCATGTAAGAGATTTTAACCATCCAATTGATTTTCAAAAAGTTGAGAAAGTAGTATCAAGCAAGTCCATGGTCGACAGGAATATAATTGAATCTTGTTTCATAAAAAGCAGTTTTGACAATAATATGAATATTTCCTTTGATTTATATAAATTAGATCCATTTATAATTAATAGAATTTGGGAAGAATTTAATAATACATTGGACAAATAATAAATTTTAAAATTCTTAATTCTTGGGTAGAATAGTTTGTTGGTGGGTTGTGTGAAGGACCTGTCCAGTTGGGCCGGTGGGTCTGCTGCTGTGTTCCCTTTCTTATGAGACGCGCGTCAGGTGTTGCTTTGTTGTGGGATGTGATAGTGAGGTGTGGGCTAGACCCTTTATATGCCTTCCTTTGATGCATTAGATGCTTGGAATTTCTCTGTTCTTTCATAGTGGTTGTTTTGCATATTCTGAAACCACCTGTTTGCTGTGATCTTATTGCAATATATATATATATATATATATATATATAATATATAATATATATAATATAAATATATATAATATACAGTGGACCCCCGGTTAACGATATTTTTTCACTCCATAAGTATGTTCAGGTGCCAGTACTGACCGAATTTATTCCCATAAGGAATATTGTGAAGTAATTATTCCTTTCAGACCCCAAACATACACGTACAAACGCACTTACATAAATACCTACATAATTGGTCGCATTGGGTAATAGTTATGCGGGCCAAACTGTAATATATAAATATATATATATATATTATATAATATAAATATTATATATATAAATATAATAAATATTTATGCCAAAACAACCACCTAAAAAGAAAGAGAAATTCCAAGCGTTTTCGTGACTTACTCAACATTTAATCAAAGAACTATTGAAATACTTGTTCACTGTGAATCTTATTGCATAATATATAATATATATAATATATATATATATATATATATAATATATATATATATATATATATATATATAAATAATATATATATATATATATATGGAACATTAAATTTCAGTATTAACTCTCTTCTCAAATTGCTCCATGATAGCAACAACAGACAGGCATAACACGAGGCACAAAACTCTTTTCATCAACCCCGGAGTCCACCTCACATTATACAATGATACA